TGAGGATCAGAGCTTGTAAGAGAATGGAAGGTAAGCAAATGAAACAAGAATACTTAAGGGAGGCTGCTAGCGGGTCATCCAACACCATGTTGGAGAGGTACGATTTTCCAGTGCTATGTTGGGCTATCAAGTGTCTACTCATCTGCCTTTTCAGCTGCCCTAAATTTGAAAATGAAGAATCAACTTTAAGTAAGAAAATAATTAAAGCCAGTCAAACCCGAAGAATCGCTCCACTTTTAGTGAAAATTAATCAGGTACAAGAAAGGAATGTACAGTTATGAGTGACGGGTGTTCGATTCCACATAGTTGTTTCGTTTACAGAAAGGATTGGTGGTCTGGATTGAAGTAGACACAGCGTGGACATCTTGAGCACGAAAACGTGTAGAAACGGAAAGTTGCTTACTTTAACAAATATGTATGTGAAGCTGCCAGAAGTTGGATTCATCACCAATCTCGACCAAATGTATGACCTTCAGTCTGTGATAACCGCCTTTAATAACTTGTGTCGTGAACGCGGATACAGAAAGTGTCCGCTGACCAGGAAAATAAAAACGTGAGATTCCGAAAATATCATCGTAAATAATAAGAGTCCTAGAATCGAATATGTTTCTTAGTGTCAGCGACATAATCAGAATCTTATAGATTCACTATTTCGTTGACTTGATGTTAATATGCGTATCTTGGTGAGATTGTGTTATTATTATGTTTTTTGCAGTTACCTAGGAACCGAGCTGTTTTATACCTTACAAGGGTGTATGTTTTATTAGCCATGAGTTTCGCCAATAATCGACCACCGTAAGAAAATACTGCAGTCAGGCTTACTAATGGCTGAAGCGGTTTATTTGTCAAGTGCATGTCCTAGCACCCAGGATGACATCGATTTGAGTGCGTGAGAGCATGGTGCTTTTGTTCACAAAAATCACATTCATACGGTGTTCTCTGACTTCAAGAATGGGTAACTACACCAAAGTGTCCTAACAAACCACACTGACATGCATAATATTAGTCGATGGTTAAGCGCTTAAAGTATGAACAGCACAAGCGTTCTCTGTTCACACTAACAATAACCAAGTGGAAAAACCACGTGTATGGTAGATTTTTGTTATACTGTACTGCAAAAATGCTACAAAGATATATGCACTGTTATATATACAATATAAGGTTTCGTCACACGACAGTAGTGGTAATTTCCTGGATTTTGTATAGAAAACCGACAATGACTGGTTCAACAGGAGTGCAGCCGTAAGAGCCATACTGTAAACACAATCTTATGATTACCTAGTGGATCAGTTATCTAAATTAGTGCTCACAGATGGGTGGTTAAAATTAACTGTCCATACAAGGTAGTCATAAGCACTGAGTTGAATAAAAACTGTAGACCAGTCCGTTTGAAGTTAAGTATGTTAATTCAGTACAGCTTTTCCTTTCTTAAATCCTGGACAGGGTTTCGGTAGAGATCCTTTTCTTATGCTGTTGTTTCTTGAGGCCAAGAACTTCCTGGCATGTTCGAGTTAGTGCCTCTTTGATCACTTTCTAGTCGTTCTCTATAGTAGTCTCCTCTTCTTCGAATGGATCTTGTAAGGATTCATCTTGAATTCTTTGAGTTTGTCAGTATCGCTGAGGAGGGATGTATGGGTTTTATTGATGCTGTTTCTTCAGTTGTCTAATTCTTTTTTTTAAAAACCACCAGGAAGTAATCTGAAACTACTTTACCTCCTTTCTTTGTCCTCACATCCTCCAAGGATCATCTGACTTTTTATTGATGCATATATGATTAATCTGTTCTTTTGTGGTGTAGTCCGATGATATCCATGTAGCTTTGTGTATACGTTTATAGTAGCATATTGTGTCACCCATAACCATTTTAAGACATAAATTTGCAAATCTCTTGACATTCCCCTTCCTTTCTCTCAGTCCTTATCGTCCCATGATATCTTCATACTCACTATTGTCCATTCCGACCTTAGAGTTTAGATATATATCAGTATGATCATTTCCTTTCCTGGTCACTTCTCTACGGTCAACTGGAGCATCCCATAGTAATTATCTATGTCGTCTTCACTACTATGGTTGGTGGTGCATAGCACTGATAAACTTCATTGTAACCCCCTCCCTTTTTGTTCGACGGATCCTTTGATGATTTTGTGTTCATAAGATTTTCATTCTATCAGCACTTTTCGTGTTTCTTCAGCAGCATCAGTTCAACACTGTGTGTGCTCAGCGTTTTCACGACCATCTAACAAAACCATCACAAAATTATCAGCGCAATCAAAAATCATTCTCCGTTTTTCTTGCTTTTTCTGGTTTATCACTACATGATGAATTAAACACCAGTGTGGGCGATGTTCTGACAGCATGTGAATTTCAGGAACCTTTACAAAGTCCTTGGCCAAATTATTTTCAACAATTATCGTACGTGTCGTGAAGACAGCCACTCTGAACAACCTACGCCCCAAACTCAGTGAACTATGTTGCACTGCTTCAAAATTCCCGGCTATCATATCTATGTTCTTTTTCAAAGGCACTAGAACAGCGAAATGACCGCTGTGTTGGCTACCGACAGTGACTTATTATTTGAATATACATAAGAAAACTTCATACCATAAAGCTAGCAATGCTGATATTCTAACGTCTGTACTTTGTATGGTTGATAACTCCCCTTTTGAATTCTGGGTATGAAATAGGTTCAAAAATAATCCATTATAGTAATGTTTTTATGGCGTATAGGTGTTTTTTCCCCATAACCTCTGGCCTAACCCCCTAGAAAGTTCTAGACCTACTGTGGTGCATGTTACTTTTATCGGTATAATTAGTACATAACGCGAGTTAGGAATGTAATGTCTGGCAGCGGAAGATTAGGAAGATCAAGAAAGGAAGAACGCGAGTAGAAAACAATTAGTATGGAAATGCAAAAACAATGAAGTCCGAGACAATTACTGAACATTTCGCGAATTAAGTATTATAGTATGGTTTTTCTATTTTACCAAGTAAATCTGTAATTTTGCGCTAAATAATTCAGTTGTCCTCACCTGTGTCCTCCTCCACTACACTACCACGACCGCCAGCCATCACTCATAATGGCTTTTACGGTGATAAACACTGTGGTGGACCAGACAAATATGAACGCAAAAAGTATAAACAAAGTTACTAAAGATAAATAGTAATATTAATATATACAGTTAATTGTTACAAATACAATAAAAAATTAGGGCCGTTACTTAAATTGACCCAACGTTGCGTGTTCTGATTAGGTCCGGTAAGGTGAATCCACAATTATCAATGCTTGATGATTCTGAGCAAGTTGGTGAACTCTATAGTGATATAATCCCACGTAGGATGTGATATATTCCAATTACAGTCTATAAATAATGATAATATTTGATTTAGACTTCAGTTAACTCAACCGCAAATGAAAATAGAACGAGGGATGCGTGAATAGTAATGTATTTGTTAGTCGGCAAGCATATGTCACGCTATGTAGTAGCTCAACGGAAAGTGTGTTCAAGGTCCATGACTAAAACAACACGTACATTCATTTAATGATGAATGTACATACAGTGAAAAATTGACAAACAAATACAGATAATATTAAAAACTATTTACAAAATAAGGTTGTCAGGTCTATCTCCACATAGCTCCCCCCAGAGTGTCCGGAGGTAACACTGGTCATAATTAAAAAAAAATGTAAGGATAAGATATATATACATGTATACAAAAATAATATTTACAATTATAGCTAACAAAAATGTGGAGATGAGTATGACATGTAGCAGAGATGTAGCATAGCATAATAAACACACACAAAAATATGAAGACGCTGTCATTCAATGTCTTGGCTGTCTAACAATGATAATAATAATGTACAAAACTGCTAATGACCCAAAAAGAAATTGAACTGTTTATTTTTGTGTACAATAAATGGGTAATTAAATAGAGTTTACTCGCTTATTATAGTAACAAAAAATTTTTTTATAAATAAAAAACTATTTACAAAATAAGGTTGTCAGGTCTATCTCCACAACACCATCAACCCTACTGTCGAAACGACTTTCGGTATTATGTAATTTTCTTTCTGATCGGTCAGACAAACTGATTCGATAAGAATCCTTAAAACTATCTAGTTCAACGCCACGATCATCCCGATTAGATTTTGCTTTTTCTTTTCATTCTTCCCTAGTTTTCTGGGTTTATATTTCCCGTTTAAACTATCTTTCATCTCATCTACAATCAAGCTAGAGCTATCATTATTATTAAATATCATTATATAGTAATTTTATTACCCCTATGCATAATTCTGAACCATAGTACATAATGATATGGAAAAGTGCTTGGTTTGTCAAAGGGGAATTGCTGTCTACGTTGGCTCCATTGTCACCCACCACATTCCGCCTCAATCCCTTTTAGGTTTACTGGCTGTTCGAGGCCGGGATACAGAAGGAGGTTTGGGCATGAAATCAGCAACTCCCCGTATAAGCCAACCTTGCTGAAAAAGCCAGCCAGAAAAAAACAATCCAGACCATTTGGACTCTGTCTTAGAGTTGAAGGATCTCCATTTAAAAGAAATATGTCACTCCATGGTGAGCGATGAAATTTTGCGGAAGCCACGAGGTCGATATCCCTCTTAACTATCACGGCATCAACTAATGTATGCACATGGAAATTCCGGACAGTATGGTAGACTGTTTGAACAGTCAAATAGCTGCACAGACAAGAAGATACAGTATGATGGTGTTTGAAAAAAAGTAAAACCCATTAGGTCCAAGCTAAACAGAAAAGACTGTATTAAGGGTTATTGAACATCGTGTGTTTTACCGTACTCTTTGTTGGGGTTTCAAAGCATCTAGTCAGCTGATTGGTTTGAAGTATGGTATTTCACTTGTTTCCAGGACCAATAATAATCTGACTGATATGCAGTTTCCTATCCTCTAAACACCTTCCGATAAAGCTTCACAATGGGTTCCTCGCGTTGTGTGGTATTGTAGATATTAAAGTTATCTAAAATGGAAAACTTTTCTAATTATTTTAATACTAATGGTACGGTCGTGGCTAATGGAAAGGTAAGTTCATCCATATATATATATATCACTGCCCTGCAGACTCATTCATACCACAAAAGCGATGTGTGCATCAACGATAGTTTACCGAAAGAGTTAATCATCAGGTGAGTAGGATTGCCAACTTTCTAAATCTGAATCCAGGGTTTTTTCTTACTTAGATATCACTACTCTATGCAAATGCTCTCAAGTTTGTAAAGTAAGCTGCCTTTTTTCACCAACCTTTTGATAGTTTTGGTATGAATGTGCTTTCGATGGGAGCAACTGGAAGAGTATTAATTTATTTGACTTCCAGCGATATGTGCAGGTAATTTCTATCGTCCAACTAACTCAACATAAATAGCCCAAAGTAGTTGAAAAAATCGCCCAGAGAAGTCGCGGCTTCCTCCGTGAGTTGAGGTTGAAAGGCTGCCGAAATGTTACTGATGAGGCTCTAAAGTGAGTCCGATTGATATTTTATCTTTGCCCACGAATTGTACTGCTTATATGTTAACTTCCTATGTTGTTATTGGTTTTTCATACACTTGTCTTAAGTACACTTTCAACTGAATGATTGTCTGTGTACATTATAAAAACATTAACGTTATTCTTGTAGAGAAAAACTAGTTTGTTGATATTTTATTCACATCGTTCAGATGGTTAGTCGTTGTCCTGTATCAAAATTAACTGATAGGGGTTTTATGAACTTTTAGATAAAAGTCCGTCCTCTTGATTATTCCATCTATAATTTATGTGGGGTTGGCCATTTCAATTTGTAAATACTAGGATTCCATTATTTGAAGGGTCAGTGTCTACTTAAAATATCTGTTATGTCCATCGAGTCTTAAGGTATTGTATTCAGAATATTGGTGAAAAGGCTTGGCTAGGTGTAAGGATCGGCTTTCCTTCTACCAGTTTTCGATATTTGTTGCACTCAGAGTCTGTCTGTCAAAAACAAAGCAAGATACATCATGTTCATAAAGACTTTTAACGAGCACCATCTGGTGACTAACCTTCTTGTCTTCTTGTTATAGATGTTTTACTGAACTTTGTCATATGATTGAAAGTTTGGACTTATCGGGATGTCAAAACTTGACGAATGGAACTTGCGATTATTTAGGGAAAAATTGTTCTCTTCTGACTACTTTGTCCTTGGAAAGTTGCTCTCGTATAGATGATGCTGGATTAGAAATGCTAAGGTAAGTGTATTAAAAATTTTCTCATTAGTCAGCAAATATTTTTTCCGTCATGCACTCGTTGTTTCTGCATATAGTCTACAAATTTTCCTTTCAATGTCATGGTACCCACTAATACACCAGGTTTTATTGCATTGAGTGATGTCAGATTAATGACCGAATAAACCTCTTGCCGTTAGTTGATTATCTCATCACTTTTATTTTATTTTACTGTGTATGGTCAAGTGTCCGAAACTCTTAACGATTTCCCTTTTGCTCACTTGGATAATCATTCTTATTGTTTCTACATGCAGTTTACATCTTAGTGCACCAACCGTCATAGTAACGAAGTCGATTCATCATTCTTTGTGTCAGGTGAACGTTTTTTTCTTAAATCAGTTCATTGGTGGATGAGGCAATCGCAAAAGCTATCAATATATTCACTAGTAATTGCTTTGGGTTGCTGGGTATTTAATATATCTTAAGAAAGGAAAATATATTCATTACCTAGTCGCACGAAACTATTGTCTTTGGTTTTGCACAATATTATTCGGGTCTCAGTTGACTGTGGAAGTTACACATGCTGAAACATCGCCTACCAATAATATCTGAATCTTAGTTGAAAAATGATTGCGTACGATGTGACAATTAGTCTACATTTAATGGTCCTTGAAGTATTGAAAATCTTGCTTATTTCATAATATTTAAGCTTCTGATCATTTTAGTATTTTCACTATATTATTGCAGAATACGTCAGCATAAACTAATATGTACCTTTACATGATTTTCTGTTTACTTATCTCACTATGGAATTTATATGTAATTCTGTTAAAACTATGTAGTGGTACTGGTAGCTAATTATTGTAAACCGTAATAAATTCATTTTTGTTATAACGTTTAACCCTAGAATAGGTCCACCATAAAATTATTAGAACAGGAACTGTAAGTATTTACAGCTACATTAGCTATATTATATCTTTCTAGGTTTGGTACATCTATGGATTTATATGTAGAGGTTTCTGTATCATTATCTCTCAGTCGGGTATGTCACATTCTTAATAATGTTTAATTTTCTTCAAGCCACCAACACAACTTACCAGACATATCCAATTTCAGGTTAATTAGCTGTAGAACACTAGTATCTTCCATGTTATGATAGTTTTTATGTTTGCTTCCACCAATGAATTCCAATTTCAAACTAAAGTTAAGGAGTGTTTCTCTGAATCATCCAACCACAGTCTCGATTTGTTTGTTGTTTTATTGACTGTGGGTATCCAAATTTCCTGAAGTCATTGAAACAATTGGATCTCACTTGAACTAGAATCTAGACTCCCACACCTTGATACATTTGAATAACCTAGAAATGTACTGTTTAACCTAACACATTCCATTTCAAAATAAATTGTATTCGAAATTTGTTGAGATTCTGTTCTGTCTGTTTAAATCTCGGTTTTCCACACACTAGCTGGTGTTCAAATCTAACATGTTTGGATGTGTCATGGTGTAGTGTTGGAGATCGTGGGCTAACCGCTATCGCCAGAGGATGTAAAAATTTACAAAGATTTCGTGCTATAGGTTGTCAAGAGATAACAAGTCGTGGTGTGGAACAATTAGCACGTCACTGCCATGGTTTATTGCTGTTAAACTTGAATTATTGTGGACAGGTATGTATATTTCAATCTGTATGTCATGGTTAGAATGTATTCACTGAGCCACCCCACTGATCACTAATATAATATTTAGAACTAATTATCTCTTAGTAGGTTCTCTCAATTTCTAAGTCAAATGTTCGAACTCTGCTATTCGTAATAAAATATACACAAACAAGTAGTAGCATTGACCCTAACTCAATTACTATGACTTTTAATCTAGTTGACTTAATATGACATTGGCTACATTGGTTGATTGAAAATAGGTATTTATTGATGAATATTGATTTAGCAATCACATTTGTATTTGCTCTTTAGAAATGTAAGTAATCTAAAAATCGCTCTCATTATAAAAGTATAGAAATAGAATTGGAAGAAATCAGGACGGCTATTCTGTAATGAAAAAATGTATTACCTGTTAGATCGTTATTCGTTTTACTATTAACTTTGGGAATCCAGTTTCTTAATAAGTAGAATCACCCATTTAACTAGTAAACAAAACAACATAGAGTCTCCAAAGATATTGGATCACTTACAATTGATTGATCACTGGGTGATGATCAATATCATGTATGTGAGGTCCTTCTTAGTACAGATCGAATCCTACCGACCAAGTTGATATGTGGCCACTAGTCTAGTTGACTCAACATTGCGTGCACTATGTTGAGATAAGATGGTGGTTGGATCACTCTAAACGTCCCCAGTTGACAGCGGAAAATCAACGCGATAGAAAGGTTAAAAGTATTTAAGCCATAAATGTTACAAATATCCAATTCTCATAAATTAATAGTAAAAACGTTTTCTGTGTAATCCTTGTGTGTATATGCAAAAATACACCATTTAAGTGCAGATTCCAAATATAGTTATAATAGTAATATAAATAATTAACTTATCATGTACAGGTTTATGCATTCTGTTCTTAACCACGATTTTGTCGTATGATAGCTAGTAATACTACCTGACCACAAACCGAACTAGGTGGGGCGGGGTTGAAGTTTATGCTTTAGTGGTGCAAATCCTAATTATCTGACTACTAAACCGCACATATTAATAATAGAAAAGATCATTTTCTCTGTTTACTACTTGTTTATCCACACTCCATCGAGAAGAGTAGTGTTTGAATTGCTGACCACTTGCTAACTGACAGGACCAAAATCATGGGTAGACATTTAGTAACTAATAGGTGTGATATGATGGAAAGAAAAGTCAATTTTATTCTGTATAATATGCGGTATTCTTGTATTCCATTGACATGAACTATGCTCTATATGTGATTTGTTATAACTCTAAGTATATTTCATATATGTGATTACATTCTAATTATTAATCGAAATGGGTGTACAATCAATGCATAAATGAGTGTATTTTCCACTAGCGTTGTCATCGTCATGTTCTGGGTTAATAAATGATCATTTATACCAGTCTTTGTGTTCTTACTTTCGCGTCGTGGGAATTGCAGAGGTCCCTCGTTCCGAGTATAAGTGATAAGCGTTTCCGACATAACAATCAGTGAGGACCAGATACAAAAAGTAGCACTAAAAGAGCCAAAGACAATAAGCATTCAAACGACAAGTTATAACAAGATGCTCTATCCTAAGGATTATAGTAGTGAACAGTGGGGTAATAACAGATAACACCTAATTAATTCTTCAAAATTAACTGTTGCGTACAATAGCAAAATATTCAGAAAATCGTTTCCTCATTTTTAAGCAAAGAAGGATTATATCAAAGGTGTTCATAGAAATAAAAATTGTAATAAAATAATCTGGAAGGACAAATATTAAAACTACAAAACAGGTGAAAGTTTAATATACGATAGAGCAAGAACTCATCTCCGTTATTTTGTTCGATTTGAAGCCATGTTACCCGTCTCTGGCAACTGATGAGCCCAATCATTTACCCGTCCATACTCTCTCAATCAGATTAGTTTAATATTGATATCTGGAAGTAAGCAGGCGCTAATTCCATCCTAAACATTTGGTTTTGACTTGCAATTCCACAACAAATTCATGATAAAGTCATCAAAATATCGAGCCTCAACCTATAATAAACATTCACACTTGTTTGTTTTGACAGATATGCCTGTCATATATTTCCTCCAATACAAAACAATATCGTCAGAATTTCCTAAATGATATAGTTAAATGTAATATTCAAACTCTATAGTATGGTTAATGTAAGTTATCTTTAAGTCGATTAGAAATGACGCTCAACTGTATCTAGTGCATTTCTCAGATATTTTTCAGAACTAAAGCGAGAATGTTTTCCCGTCTTTGTACTGAACACTGTGTCATGTGTTAAAAGTAGGAACGTTTCGAAAGATTCTATCTTTGTTATGATTCGCTGTGCTTGATTATTACCACTATATTTTTTCTTTGCTTTAATATTCATATTATTGTACTGATCAAAGTAAAAGTGGTATTTTAGGATTCTTCAGAGCATTTAAATCGATTATTTCATTGGTATTAGTAACATTAAAAATGCTTTATAAGTCAGTCACACGCAACGTAGAACGTGGTACATGTGTGTATCGATTTAAGTTCCCGTACACTATTATCATAGTAAGATAGAATTGTTAAGGAAATAGTAACAGTACTAGTTATGGTAGAAAAGCCTAGACACTGAAGATACGATTCAATAAAAGGATCAATGTAATAAAAATAAGAAAACAATAATTGTGGGGAATCTCGAAATTTAGGATCTAAGGCAGAACAAAAGGTTAGTGCACCTGTGTCATTACGAATGATTCTGAGCCATATCACTTAAAGTAGAAAGGGGCGAACTGGTGCTCAATATAATCGTCCTTTAGTTAGCAGATGGATATCTCATCTACTGCACGATTAACGCAAGTTGGCAAAGCCAACTAACCCACCAGAGATGATGAGACTTCTTTGATATGTGACGGTCAACACAATCAACTCTTCACTGCCTATTACTAGTTCTGAGGTTGATGCGAACCAGTCCTGAAGCAACATTTTATATTTAAATGGAAAGGAACAACAGTCAGTTACTTATGAAAATTGATATAAAGTCTATTTACTTCAGTATTCTAAAGTCTCTGCTTTAAAATATAATTCCGGTCTTCCGTCTTCATTTTTTCACTTGTGAGAAAAATGCTTCTGTGACACAGCATCAATAGTGCTTTCATAGTATAATGAAAAAGGACTACATGAGGAAAATTAACCATTCATTGTAAGCGAAATCGCACATTGCCTTTGTTAAATATGGAAATTATACATCATTTGCACATCTTCCTTCAGTTGTCCTTTACATACTTCATCATCCAAACCAGTTGTTATTCCGATTTCTCTCCATTTTCCTTCCTGTTCTCTTTTCAATCTTCCGCTGTTCAACATTTCACTTCCTATTACTGCTACATACTAATATCTGTCCAAACAAGAAGCACACCACAATAGTACAGGCTCTGCTTTGTGTCTTCTTTTGCATTCGAGAACATCTCAAAACGAGTTTTATTGAGAGTTTCGTAATATAGTTAGACTGTAACTACCAGTGAAGTTCAAAGTGCGGGTTTTGTCCTCTTTGGTACTCGTCAGTTAGATGTCCTGCATTGAACCTCGAATCTAGTACCTTTCACTTAAAAAGCTAATATATTCACCGATCTGATGAGTCTAAATGAACACTAATTAGTTTACCGGGTACGATGTTTGTGCCATTATTAAAAATGGCTTGAGTTATTTCGTAGTTGATATTCAGGACTGAAATCTAATCAATCTGTTTTGGTCTTACTTCCTCAGGAATATCATAGTTCGAAGATAAGTATACATTACACTAACTGTAGACTTGTAATGCCATTTATACATTTTATATGTTGTCATTTTTATTTCAAATTTATATAGGGTGTCACAGATGAAGCTATGGTTCATCTTTCCATTGGTTGTCCTGATCTACGTGTACTAGCTATATCACATTGTTCAATAACTGACCAAGGTCTTCGTGCAATTGCTGGCACATTATCGCCAGCTGCAGCAGCAGCTATCGTTGGACAAGCTACATCTACCAGTCAGCAAAATGGGATCCCTTTAATTCTTCCGGTAGTAACAAGCAATGGAAGCGTTAATAATCAAGATGCTTCATCACCAAACGGTAATGTTAATAATCATGGAGATCGAGATAATAATCGACGCCAAAAAACTAATGATTCTAATAAGATAACATTGATTCCAGTTGGATGTGTTAGCTTAACAACTTTAGAAGTGGCTCGTTGTTCAGCTATCACAGATATTGGCCTATCGGCAATCGCACGTGTTTGCAATAAAGCAAGTTGTCTTTGATGTATAACTTATAATTGTTAATCAGTCATAATTGTTATGTTTTTATGTCCGGCTAGTTATCAAGTAATTTATCCACCAATCAAAATACGACTTATACAATCTTAGCACTGTGCCGAATCAATGACGTTCGACCGGTATGGGAAGCCTAGCGTTCTTATTGGTCCTGTGTCCGCCTAGCCCGTCCACTTGAGTCCAGAACACCGATAGCAGCTCCCACTATGCGAATCGAATCATTTATTTCAGACATACTGGGTTTATATATCAACCAAACAGATCGCAACGCACCATAAAATAGGAAATAACATTTATACACAATAAAGCCAAAAAGTGACTGTGAACGTGGGAGGCAGTAGTCAATAAACTGAACATAGCTTACGAACATTAAATTGTATAATAATAAATTATAGCTCAAAATAAAGCTTATAATAAGAGGAATATAAATATACATAATCTAATTATTGAATAGTTATACCATAAGAATGTATAGATAATATTAGTTAACTAATATGTCTGAGAAGTTACTCGTGATTTAATCTTCGCTCGGATATGACAATAATCAGCATAGAGCCTGGCGTAAATGTGTAGCGTGGTGTCGAGTCGCGATTGACTATGAACACCACCACAAGGAAGCGCGTACCAGAGAAACCAGAAGACAAAGATGGAACGTAACCAGATTTATTTCGTTGGCGATCTCGTGGTATCGAACGAATACCGAGATCGTGCTAAAAGGAATACAAGCGGAATTAGTGGGCGAGAGTATAAGCGTACAAGGTCACTGTCCACAGGAAAGTAATGGAGTGGTAATATGGCTGTCTTTAGCACAGTTAAGCAAACGAGCACAGTAAAACAATCGTTGGTACAATTGGTTATAATAATGATTGTTTCCATTAAACCAATCGCGTTCTCTTGGTAAAAGTAGGTCACTACAAATATGTCCAATCCAAGTTGTCATAATGCATCGGCACAATAAGAAAAAATTAAGATGAATAGCAAAGGAGTTAAAATAGTGCAGTTACAATATTGTTAGAAGAGACTAAATATTGAGAATATGGAGTGAAAAGATGTATATAAAGAGATACTAGGAACCAATATATTGAGTAAGATAAAAAGTGAATACATCTGAGCCATTGTTACCGATTCTGAGTCATTGTTAGTCCAACATCTCCAACCATTGATCATAGTTAATGCGCGAATTTCAATCATGTAGTTAGCACTTACTAACTTGGTTTATTTCATCAGTTAATAATTTTATAAACCTACATCACATTTTGATTTGAACATCTTTAGCTTTCGTTTAAACTATTCCCACACCAGTTTATTTCATCTATCAACGTAGACAGTGGGTTAGGCTTACGTAACATATGTCTAAATTATAATTTCTTTCCGAAGAAAAGTCCAACTAATATTCATTGATTATTATGTCAGTGACTAGTGTTTTATTTAAAATAAAACAATCAACTTTTATCTCTCATATACTTACCTTATACGATAGAAATGGTAATAATTAATCTAATTATTAATATTAAAAAAAGAGATATATACTACAAAGTTTAACTATAATCAAATTTATAACCTATTTTTTGGTGTTATCTGTTTCACGCCACTTCTACCTTATTACATCCATTCACATATGATACGTTCAACACAATTTGTATTTAAAATGTGATTATTATTATTATTATTTGATTGTTTTTGTTTTGAAAAGAAGTAAAGATTCATGTGCTCAACTTTGAGCCACATATTTTCTGCTTAAGGATTTAGTACTGTACTATTCTGTTGTCAAAATTGAAATAGGTAGTGTGTTTTGAACTCATGTACAGTTCATTAATTAAAAGTGAATTAATTTATCTACCTTAACTTACAACTTTAACATTTGTGGAATAAAACATTAAATGTATCATTAAAAATACTAGAGAGCAAGAGCGAAGATTGGTGCAGTTTTTTCTCAGTGGAATCAGTTAAGTCCTTGTCACTTTTATCTAACTTGAATCTCATGTGGTCACTCAAAATGGACTTCATCTTAGAGACATAATCCGTCGTGTTCATCTGAACAATACTTGAACCCTTATCTGACCGTAATATCATTATATGATCATTTCGCTTAATATTTCGTAATGCTGTTAAGTGATCTTTGGATAAAAGCTTAGACTGGGGTGTGGGTGAAACGAGATATTAGTTTGCGATATCAACTAGTTTAGATTTAAACCAGCCTTTCTTCTCTTCACTAACTGAGTGCAATTCTTTAATTTGTTCAAATAAATTCTCAAATCGAGTTTCTTTGTCGATCCTATTGACATGTATTTTTTGGATATGAAATTTAAATCCAAGCGATAAAGCTTCTGTTTCAATTTGATTTAGCTTCACTGTTGATAGATTATCGAGAAATTTCTTCGGGGTTTTCCGGAAAACCAAAGCATAAGTGTTCCTTTGACAGTGTCTTTGACAAATTTACATCGAAATTCTTGCATATTTTGCTTTACAGACCTTGGATAAAGTTGGTAAATTTTATGCGACATACGATAATTAGATCGTTGACTAGTTCATCAAAGACATTAGTTTCTGCCTTCAAACTTTCAACCAATAATTTTGTTGATTCTATATGAGATTTTTTGATGCACGGAAGATTTTGAGAGAAGGCAGGAGTTTACATGAGTATCAGTCATTGAAGTCACTAAATTCTAATCTGCGCCATGTTGGTAGATGCAGACTACTTGGTTGGGGTCCGCGTGACTATCGTAACCAATGATCGGAGACTCCGGGTGATATGGCTCAGAATCGATCACAATGGCGTCGGTGTATGCACTCTCTGTCTTCCTTTAAACTGGGAGAATAAAATCGCTTCATATCTTTCTTTCTACGAACTAATTCTTTCTGCCTGTACTGTGTCCTTATATGCAATCTTTCTTTTATATGTTACCACCATTGACTTAACCACTCCTATGAATCTGGTGTCCATCTTGCTGTGCTAATGAGGCATGGCAACTTGGACCGATGCATATATGTGCCTGGTTCTACGTTGTAGCTGACTGACTGACTGAAAGATTTTAAGAGTTGACGTGGGAAACGGCATGATTTGAGACATTCATCAAGAAATTTAAGTTGAGTCATTCCTTTCGATGTTCTGCAGCGTATTGTCACCAGGCGATTCAGTGACTTGAATGACTGTACAAAGAGACGCATTTTGAGAAATTCCATACACATAGTTCCCTTTATTATCCTAAAGAGAGCAAGAAAGAAGATTGGTGCAGTCTTCGTTCTTGTTCTTTTTAAGATAATGAATGGAACTGTGTGTATGAAGAATACTAAATTTAATCTGAAATAAATTTGCTTATTTATTATTCATTAAACTATGGGTATATTCGTTTAAAACAGGATTTTGTACAGTGGTATTGGTGTGTATGTAGGTATTGTCAGTGTTTCACAATTCTCAGAATTAATAATCTGTTTTTCAGTTAGTCTCAATCATTTGGGTCAAATTAGTCAATTTAAAGACTACGCATTACTCTATGGGAAATTTGAAGGTTTTGAGTTGAATCCTTAAAAATTTTATGGATTTGGACCTTCAAAAATAAGGGGTGTTAGATTCGAAGTAAATAATTGATGTATGGTACAAATGATTATATTAACATTTTTGTATTCCTGATCACTTCCATGTTGTGACAAAGTTTTTTGTTAATTTTCATTACTGGGATTTCCTGTGCTCGTGTTAGGGATGCTAGATCCCCAGGACTTACTTGGAAACGTCTTATTTTTTAATTTGAATTTCTTGTTTTTGCGCCAAAAGCGCCCATTTTTCCATTCAGATTTTATGTTCCACTGAGGACTCTAAATGTTACTATTTTGTGACGTTTCCCAAGGGCATTTTTATGCTGTATATTTACGCTTGAGTTGTGATTGTGGCTGCTTGTGGAATACACTTTCCCTTATGTGAACCTGGATTTCTCCTCCCAGTTAGCGGGGCTGGGACGCATTTGAATAATTTAGCCGTCTTGTCATAGTGTTGTTGTGTCTTCGTTCCGTTCGTCGATTTAGGCGATCTCGTAATCTCTTCAAACATAGCAGCTCCGTTTAACAAGGTTTGTGTGTGTTGTATACACTTACCTCCTATACTTGTATTTTGGTTTGAAATTTGTATTCCTAATTGAGTCAAGTATTCGACTTCCAAACAATGAGTAGCCACGAGTTCTAACTATGATTCCATGAAGGTCTGTACAAAATCGAATAAATAGATGATCCCTTCGTGATCATAAGGCTTCTGTTTTAACCGGGAAAGTTATTGTGTTCCCCAACTGCTTACATTAGTAAAACTACTATTTAGTTTTAGCCGATAAAATTCGACAAGTTCTACGTTGTAGCTGACTGACTGATAAGTTCTCAGAACTAAAATATAGTCTCGGTAGTTCCGGGCGGCGGATTCCTATATTTATCACTATACTTTGATATCTTCATACCATTGTCACATTATTTGATATATAATATCTAATTTCAGTATTTTTAGTTACGAGTACTATTAATGCAAAAGTAATTATGTTAAAGAGATACAGCAATAATTTTCTCCGTTTTAAAATATTTAGTCAACTATAATTTCTTACTCACCATTGCTACTACTGATGGTTGTTTGTTGTTATCTTCTGTTTTGAACAGCTTGAAAAGTTAGATCTAGAAGACTGTGCGTTAGTGACTGATTCAACTTTAGCTCAGTTAGCTGTACATTGTCCACGTTTAAATACACTAGTATTATCACATTGTGATCAAGTGACTGATGAAGGTATTGCACGTCTAGCTGAAGGCCTTTGTGGTCCTGACCAACTGCAAACATTGGCTATGGATAATTGTCCATTATTAACAGATGCTGCTTTAGAACATCTGGGCAGTAATTGCCGTAAACTTCGACAGTTGGATTTATACGATTGTCAATTGATAACGAAACAAGGAATCAACAGTTTAGAGGTAAGACAATTAACAGATGTTCAATCATGCTTCAGACTTCATGCTTTTTTATGTTTGAATAAATTTATTTGTGTACTTTTAATGAGAGTTATATTATTTTCATAGTCTAAATCATATAATGATCTTAGCTAAACCACCATTGAAACTTGGTGACATTAGACGGGCATTTAGTCTTAGTATGAGACTCCTTGGAAGTGCATATCTACGACTCCGTACCCCGGGATCAAATCCAGGACAGTTCAGTTTTGCACCCGAACACTTGGCCTCTGGATCAGTTTGTGATTTGAACTTTCTACAGTCTCCACAATTTCCCCTATATTAGTAATAATGCATTCAACTAGTGAATAGCTCCAAGATTCGACTCCTGGAGTTCTGGTGAAAAGCTGCGACCAGTACAGTTCAACTGTGTCGAGTGTAAGACAGTCGTTCGCTTCCGAATATGGCAGATAACTACGTGATATCATAAAAATTGATTAAAATTAGACATGTACACCATTGAATGACGACTCAGTGGTCTATAAGTTGGGCGTTCGCGCCTGAGACTGAAAGTTTTGGGTTCGATCCCCTACGAAGTCGTGTATGGGAACCACTGAGGAGTCCCATACCAGGATGCATTGACTGTCCAGTGCTTCCATTTTTCAGTGGTGGTCTAGTTCGTTATTTAAATTATAGAAAATTATACCATTTCTATAAATTACTTATGGTAATTAAAATTAGATATTTATAATGAATATCAGAGTGCATCGAAAAGTTTTTTCCGATATTTTTCGGTTTGTGATTAAGTCAGTTCTTCAGAAAATAACTAGGTTTTTCATATTATTACATGTTTCAGTGTTACACAAGGAATTAATCAGATTAAATACTTAATTGAAATTAAAACAAGCCCGATCATACGGTACTCTTATGCTGTTATTCAGGTCAAAGTTGATTCTGTATAGAACATGCTTTCATATGTTAATAGTTAGATAGATAGACAGGTGTGATATAGGTGGTGTCTTATCTGAAACAGATCAAATGTGGATCTGGATACATTATCTAATTTGGTTAAATTGTCGATTGAATCCTTTTTCCTATTTAACAACATATGACAATGATATTTTAGTTGGAAAAGGTATGTTTTTTTAAAGAAATTATAGAAAACATTTTAATACTGCCTAAATGACTGTCGACTATGTGTCATGCATTGATCTTGGTGATTTGACTTTTACATTTCCAAATTCTACAGGAATAACAAGTCCTTTTTTTCATCTGTTCCTGTGCAACAGATTCAGTGGCGTTTTAATAAAATACTCAGCATATGATACTAGATATTGAGTTGACTTGAACAAAACTTTTCACATCTGGGCTACAATTTATGCACGAAATTCATTTATCCATACGGATTAATAGCATTTTGACAATGATAGCTAATATAAGTTCGTGATAAAAACTCTGACTGTAATTCCCAACCCTGACTCTTTGTCTCTTCATCTTAAATTCTTACACTAGTGTATAGCTATATTTTGACCCCAGTAAGTGGTTAAAATTATTCAAGTTCACTTTAGTGTCGTTCAAAGGTCGTCCATAAAGTATAATCGCGCCAGCTTTTCAAGTGATTTATTGTATGCCATTCAGTTTCCCGAGTAAGTTATTAATGAGGCTAACGGAATTTTTCTTATTAAATCTTTCTGTGTCCAGGAGTAATTTACTTATCTTAAAAGATTTTAAAACATCAGCATTATGTCCGTTGTCAATCATATGACTAGCGATTGTATTACTTAAATATGCCTTTCGCCCCTCATCGATCAGCATATATAGCTCACTACCATTCTCGATCCAACTCTATCCTGAACAATTCTTTTCAGTTCTTCCCAGTTGTTATTCATCCTTTTGGTGTCTACTTCCAATTTCCGGTACAGTATGTTCCTTGGTCTTCACCGTCTCTCTTCAGGATTCCAAGTTAGCACTTACCTCATGATGCAGTTTGATGACTTCCTAAATGTGTGTCCTATCCACTTCCAACGTCTTTTCTTAATTTCCTCACCATTTGGAAGCTGGTGTGTTCTCTCTCATAGTATGATGTTGCTAGTGGTATCCGACCAACGGACATCAAGTATCATGTGTAGACAACTGTTTAAAAATACTAGTACGTTTCTAATGATGGTTGTATGGTTGTTATCCAAGTTTCAGTTTCGTACAGTAGAACTGTTTTGACGTTCATATTGAAGATTGTGACTTTGATACTGGTTGTCGGTTGTTTTGAGTTCCATATGTTTTTCGACTTGACAAATGCTGTCCTCGCCCTCACATCTGCATCAGATCCTCCTTGTTGATCGATGATGCTGCCCAGATACGTGAAAGTTTCCATCTCTTCCCGAGTTTCTCCATCAATTGTGATTGGGTTGGTGCTTTCAGTGTTGTATTTGAGGATCTTGCTTTTTCCCTTGTGTATGTTGGGGCCTACTGGTGCAGAGGCTGCTGCTGCAGTTGTCTCGGCCTACATTTTTTGGTGTATATAGGATAGGATGGCCAGGTCACCTGTGAAGTTCGAATCGTCTAGTTGCATCCAACCTGTCCATTTTATAGCGATTTCATACTGTCCTTTTAATCTCTGCTGCTGCGGAATGTGCCGAAATATATAAACACTAACCCTCCCTTCTGTTCTTTCAAAGTACATGTATTTCACATATATGTGAAACATATATGTAAACGCAATTGGAGTTGACATAAGGCGAGGATTTGTGTGTATTTGACTATCACAATTAAGATTTCATTCGATACAGAGAGATCAACCAAGTAAATGGATGTCTCCTTTTTATATGTCTTTTAATCTAAATCCAATCTCTTCAATCGCTTCACGTTTGAGTTCAAGTCTTACGATAGGCTTTTTCTCCACCATAACGTACTACATTTCCTTCATTCTAGGCTTTCCAAACCTTTTTATTTATGGACTTTTGCGGATAACCGTTCAACTACAGTCAATCACTTCACTTTTATTTTCTGACTATAATCTTCGACAGTTGAATAGCGTTCTAACTAAAGCTTTTTGTGATTTATTGAACAGAAGTTATTGAAGTTCAAGTATGGACCTTTTCATATGTCCTATTGATAAATATATGTTTCTAACCAGCCATTTTATTGCACCTAATGATAGGATCTAGAAAATGTAATACATTATCATGTTTATATTTCAGCATATATCTAATGTAGGGATGTGCTTTTTTAAAAAGATAGTCACTTCATAATTTTGACTATCACTAATATTCGTTTCATTTATTTTTACTTAACATTTTGATAAAAACTTTCCGATTCTTTACTAGCTAACAGTATAACCTAGTCTAATGATAATGGTTCAATACTTAAGGCATCCGATTTTCAGCCACGTTTGGCTTGAAAAACTAGATGTTATTACAAACGTCATGCATAAAGTGTAGCTCGAAGCCAACTACATCAATGTGCACCTAACAAATGAATTGATTACCGTTGTATAACACATTTCATATCATTTTTGTTGTGATTGTTCTACTTAGAATATGATGTTTTCCTAGAATATATTTTTTCTTTGTTTTAACGACCAAATATTCTAAATGTTATGTCATGATTGTTGTTTTCAATTTGCACACAAAAACTGATTGTATGAGAAGTAGTACAATCGTTCTTAATTTCAAAAGTATTCATAAGCCCGTACTATATCTTAAATATATAAATATAACAAGTTCTTAAGTAATAGTATTAAGCAAATTAATGTAAATTACTGAGTGTCTACTTTAAAATATTGTAGAGAAAAAAACAGTGAATTTTCAGTCATAATAGTAATTGCTTTGCTAAGAGCATTATTATCTTGATTTAAATGTCAACAAACCACGAATAAAAATTGGGGAAAAAACAAGATAATTTCTATTTTTCCTCCTTATAGACTTGTTTCGAAACTGCTTACAACCTTAAAAAAACATGTTTGTATTAATTATCACTAATAACAATATATGGATTGATTATTTTATCCGATTTACAATCTTCATTAAATTTAACATTGACCTAGAGGTGGATTTTTCATATAAAAAATCAATACTAACCTACTCACTGCCTTCTCGTGGCTGGGGTGTTGTTTACGAAAATAAGAGGATGAAAAGCGAATGTCCGGCGCTTTAACCGGATTGGTAGACACGGAGAGTCCACCTAGGGGAGTTGGGAAACTCTGATTCCAAACCAATGGTGTACATATGCTCCAGTATCCTGCGTAAACAAATGGCGTGTGAACCTATTGTTGGTCACCGGCTACCATGGGAATTCATCTCCTTACGTTGCTCTACTGCCTTGTGGATCAGACCTTCAGGTCGAAGGCTCCGGGTGTGGCCCTCTAATAAAACCACCTGCTTCGGTTTGGGCACCCGGGCAGTATCACAGCCCTCACACATGTCGAATGAGATTTGTGTGGCGCATATGTATTTGGTGCCTCTTTGTACTAATATCTATGTGTTAAAATAAATAAACCAATGTACTCATTAATGATTAATTTCGCGAAGTAATTTTAATGTAAAATCGTAACCAGTGTAATTCAACCATATCGACAGTGATATAAATGAATGATGGTTGCGCAACATCGTAAATTGACTGTTGTTAAGAAATATAAATCATTGGATATTAACTCAGTGGTTTGAAGGTTAAACACCTGGTACAAGATATAAAGTTCGTAGATACCCAGTGTCAAGTAGTCTCATACAACTATAAAATAACTTTCCAGTAGTCGCTAATTCTCACTAGTTGTCCAGCTAAAGTCATTCTATTGTATGAACTACACAAGTTGGTAGGATTATAGACATCGCTAAGATTATTGATTATTTCTAGATGAGACATATAAAAACGTCCTAAAAAATAAAACTGATGTCGTAAGATACGTGATATCAATTACAAAATAGGTTGATTCACAGTATGAACATCAAGATTCGACAAAAAGCACACGAAGAAAGCAGTTTCAATTGACAGCTTAAAATGTGATATCTCGCAACTAACTATTAAAACCTGAGGTCATCATGGCAAGACAATGTTGACAATATTACATATAGTTTGAATACATGAATTTGATTGAAATTTTTTTACTCATGATCTCTTCAACAAATTTGAAATTGTTTACTTAATGATTATTTTGAAATGTCAATAATCCAGCAAAAAATGACAAGTGATTGAACTGTTTGAAAACATTTCGTTTAGATTCTGTATTTCATTGAGACATATTTAGAAATGTCGACAGATATAAGTAGTATATAACACCAATCAGAAGTGGAATGCCTGGCAGCGGAAGATTGAGAAGATCCAATTAAACAGAACAGGGATGTAAACAGAGAAATCGTAATAGCATCATGAATGAAGGAACGATAAAGTTTGCAAGTGACGATTGATGGAAGATGTGCTAATGACGTAATTAATGAACGATTTTCGCCTTTGATGAAGACTTTCTGTAATTTTATATTAACTAATAAATTGGTTAATAAAATTACTCCAACCAAATTATATTTTTCCACTAGTCTAGATGACTCAACATCCCTTGCACAACTTTTTGATGTGAGTTGTTTAGAGGCACACATCATAAAGCCCCGTAAACATAGGTGATGTCAAATCACTTAGGAGAGTGTCCATATTGTAACTTGATTCGTGTTAATGGAAAAGCAGTACGGACTAGATAAACATGGAATTACTTCTGTTGAAGGGTCTCTCAGTCTTAAAAGTTAGTCGCAACTGGAATAATTCAGTTGTAGTGTTTCTGAATATAATTGTTGGATCAAATATCAGTTGACGAAAAACCTGAATTCAGGCCTTTCTGCCGACTGCCTTTATCACTTTGTAGTGAACGGGAACACAATTGGGGACAATGGAATAGCTGTCTAACTAAAATCCGTCGATAATCTTTCGGAACAATGCTAACATATTTGGGATATGTTTCTCTTTTAAATGCAAAATATTGTTTCAGGGATTATTCTGGGTTAATACCTGAATAAGTGATAGCTAGTAAAGTGGTTAATTAATTAATGAGTTTATTCAATATTATATTTTGGTACAATATAGAATTCTCAGCACGAGCTATTTCAACAAGTTTCTTTTACGAAAAAAACAACAAAAAAAAGAAAAGAAAAAGTTGAAAAAAAGTCTGAAACTGTACAATTTTTCAAATTAGAGACATGTTTATGAATACAGGTTGTTGACTAGGTTGACTCTAACAACCTGTTCGTCACAGAGTATATTTGCTAGGTCAGGTATTATGGAACTTTTATACTTATGCTTGCGTGCATGGAATTTAATGTAATTACGTAATTGAGTGCATTGACCATTACAATTTTTTTGAAAGTCTAATCAAATCTGGTGGATTGATTGTTTTCTGGTGAAATATCAGTACGGATTCAGAAGGTGCATTTCCCTTCTACGAATTTACATCGCTTGTGACGCAGGTGAGGTGTCCTTCTGACCATCCAAAATGTATATACCGTGCATCAGTAGTCTTTTGATTACTTTATGGCTTTGATATATAGCCATTTTTAACAGAAAACATATTTAGGTTGTAGGTTTTGATCATTTTCACTTCCACTACATTGGTTCTGTCTGTTTTGTTATTTTTCTTAATAATTCCACCTCGTCTAAGTAATGATGGTATGGTGATTTGAACCAACACACATTTGTGCCTAGGTCTATTTCAATGATGATTGATTTAGTCCATGACTTAAGCCAGTAAATGCAAGTATAATTTACTGTATTGGTTCTTTAATTGGTCAGCGATAAGTTGCGAATACATTTGCGTACAATTTCAATCGTAATAATGAAGTGATTTTTATCTTTAATCAACTAATTATTTATATTTTTTATTCCTAATTTTATAGTTACATTATCCTCAACTTCAAATTCATGCCTATTTCGCTCCTGGTACTCCGCCTGCATTGACTTTTGCAAGACGACGTCGTTATTGTCGGTGTTGTCGCATAATATAACTTTTTATGTTAATTTGTCTATTTAACCATTCACACCTCTCTCGTTCTCGTGACCAAATTGCCAATTTGGTTGTATTGTCTTCTAGTTTAATTCTCCAATTTTATTTCGCTCAGGTTACCTAGCCATTGACAGTAATGGATAGTAGCCTGAGTAAATAAATACCCAGAAATTTTATAGTGTGTTATAATATTTCCCTTGTGACGTTTAATCGTTGCTTTTTTTATGTAAGATCAGTACAACTTACAAGTCATATATATATATATATATATATATATATATATATATATATATATATATATATATATATATATATATATGCGTGTGTACAGTGCTATGTGGAAAGTTATGGTTATACGAAAAAAATCAGTCTTTCTATCTCTTTAATCCCTGTTTTCATGAAGTACTATTGTTAGGACAATGATGATGATTACTATATTGCCCAATTGTCATTTTCAGTTGTAACCTTACGATTATGCATCTGTTTACCGTCCCGTCCTACTTTACACAGTCATCGTTCAGTCATATGTTTATATTGAAAAATCCCGGTCATCGACCTCTGTGTTTATCTTATCTCATTGTAAGTTTTAATTTTTGAACTCATTTAATTTCTTTCCTGGTTTTTACTTACTTGCTCCTTAAATATGAATTTCGTTACACACACATCAAAATGCACAAAATTCTTTACAGATAAAAATAAAGATGAAAATCGTACTTTTTGAATACACAGCCTCAAAAGTCGTCAATGATAATAACAACGATTTTTTTTGAAACAAAAAAAAACACATACAAGTGGGTCCGAATCTTTTCACTTTGAATTAGGCTACTAAAAACACAATCAATAATACCACTTTGAATTTTTCTACATGTTTTACATTATTCAGAGAATGCAGTTTTCTAAAACCTTCTGTTCATAATTATCCCAGTTAATTCAAATTTGCTTTGTCCAGTTGTTTGCCGAATCAGATAAACAATTTATATCTATCTATTTCTGTCTGTCCGCCCGAAATGTTGTTGTCTTTGTCAACGAGTGTCTCAGACTTATTTTTCTTTTATCTGTGTGTAATCATAATAATGCTGCCACCTTGTTTTGTATAATGTTTATTGTCTAGTTTGTCTGTTTGTATGCGCTTGTGCTAGTATGTATGTATGTATATGTGTGTGAATAATTTTTGGTCGAATGTTCTAAATTCAGTTCTGTGTGTATGTATGTGCGTAAGTGCACGCGTGTGTGTGTATTTTTTGTTGTTGAGTATTTCCTCTTCTTTTTCTACATTTTCAGACGTGTTATGTGGTGAGTTTTTGTTTATTTGTATTTTGTTTTTGGTCATTATGCACTTGAATGACGGTTTGAAAACAATAATAATAATAAATACATTAATTATTGATTGCTGACCATCAATCATGGATAAATCAACACGAGAAATCAGAGGATTAAATGTTGTTTGCTCTGGTGTATCCATAGTAATATCTGTTAATCTGTCTTCGTGTCTTATATACATATAGGTTGGATTCCAAATTACTCATTATGATCTTGTACATTAAAAAATTACCTTTCTTAATATCACTTTTATTATTTTAAATATGCTTCTCTTTTAAAAATAAATATAAAGATAACAAATTTATTTCTCTCGAAATATTTTGCACAATTATTTTGTTTTACTAAATGTTGCATAACAATAAGCATAATTGATTTATGTTGGTCTTTACTAGGTGATTCACTCGAATGAAATGAGGAAGTTAGTTTGATGAGTGAATTATATCAACTCTAGAATATAAGCTGAACTGGTTTAGACACTGAATTAATCAGTCATATTATTTTATCCTTCATGTGAAGGATTATAAGTGGATGATTTTAGTTTGTTGTGCAAAGATTTGCTTCACATATTGTCTTTCAATTTTTATATGTACTATCACAAATCTGTCTTATAGGTCAGCTATACTTTGTAAATTGAGGAAGTGTTTTCTCAAGAATATCGATAATTTGTTTTTACAATATGAAAATGACTACTGTCAAGTTTTTCTTCACAGTCTTCAACTAAGATATTAACCGTCCAGAATAGTTCCCAAAGTTCCACTTATTCGCTTATATCTAACAATTTACCAATAAAAATTCCTTTATTCAGTTATGTGGAAAGTATTCGTCATTACGATATGATATCTGCTATGCAAAAACTGACCACAAATCCATATGCGGTTAAATCAATGACCACTCTGAATACGATGCATTTTGATAAGTAAATCATTATTTCAAACGTATTTTTTGTGATCCAGCTCGACCCCTATATATCGTCAATAAACTACCGTTTCATTCCTAATTTGATCGACTTTACAGGCGTATGTTAGTTTTTATGGTATCATGCTCTGCACTCTGTCTGTATCTCCTCGGTTTTATCCCATATCTATAATCAACAAGTCTACACCTAGTGATAATTTATCAAACTAATAACAGTAATCCTTTCTGAAAATTAGCACAGAATGTACACTAGTCTACAGGCATCACCGGCTTGATACAAAACTGGCAGTTACTGATTCAAGTTCATTCTTTCTGAAAGAGTGTATGATCTATATTTAGACGGAAATCATAAGCCTAAATGAAATGATTTGAAAATAAAATACTAATGATTGTTCAAAGTCCATTGTAAAAATAGATTCACTTAGTATAAAGTTGTCAATGGTGGACAAACTGACGGCATATGTTGAAGTATCATATAGGTGACATGTGTAACTCATTAAATGAGCTTTGCTATCGGAAAGGCTACGTAGTTTCCATAAAAGGTGCATGAAACTATCAAAATACGAGGACAAAATGTCTTTCATTGTGTTCAATTTGTAATAGATCTCCGGCTCAAGACAATTTGCAATGAAAACATTTTTAAGTAGTGCATGGTCTCCACACATACTGACATATATACTACGTGTATGTGCACAACTTTCTGGTCAATTATTTTCGCTCAGCATATCTATATTTAATCGCCTTTTTCATACTCTCTTGTGTAAGCCATGTGAATTCTCTTATTAAATAGTAACTGAATTCCTACTGATGTTTAGGCATTTCACATGATTTGATAATAAATAATGATTATTATTGCAATTTTGTTGTCTTTATTTATCGGAATATGTTCATTTTTATTGTTGTCTAATTGATTCCTTCTTACTTGATTAGTTCTGTCTTGTAGTGTTCACATTATTCCATGTGATATGAATTAAACAAAAGTATACAATGGGAAAAGTTACGTTTTATTCAAAGGTATATATATAATCTCAGCCAAACTTTATAGTAATGTAGATCATAAGCCCACTACTGTCTAACGTCAAAAGATATTTTTTAGAGTTCCTGTAGGAATTCACGATCAATGGTGTTCGACCATATCAAATTTGAGGCAATTATTCACCTCAGGTAATGGGTTATATTTTCACAGTATCTCATTGTTTGTATTTAGACCCATAGAGCATGAGATTCTGTCTCCGTGGTCTAATCTCCAAGCGATGGCCGTAAGAATTTAAGGACTAGTACTCGCTCCTGATGATGTAGCTGCGCACTTCCGTAGAGTCTTATAATAGGACGAAACAACTGGCTACTACTTTTGTGGTACTTGGGTTTTTTTCTACGTCCCTGTTGGGGACGATAGATCCCCAAAACTCAAATTTTGTAATTTACTTATCGATTAAATGTGCAGATAGGTCAATTGATGAACTATCGATTAAATGTTCAAATAGCAGTCAATTGTTGATTAATGTTCAAAAATCTTCCATGACAATATCGATTGTAAATATTTGTATAAATACGCTTGATTTGTGTACTTGACTTGTTATCTGCTGTTTGTCTGTAGAATACACTTTCTACACCTTACCCAGACTTTTTGATCGAGTTAGCAGAGTTGGGGACAACGGACCAGAATAGACTATTGAGTCTCTGAATCCTGAGCCTTCGTTCCGTTCCGAATAAGTCGAATCAATAGTATCCTCAAGGTTAACGAACCTAACAGTCCCCTAATCGATTGTTAGATAAAGTTTGCCAATAAGAATCCAAGTTACAAGTCTTTACACTAAGTATGACTTCTCTGTAGACTAATGCCCTATACCGTGACCAGTGACGCGGTTCTGCTGACAACTGTTAACCTTGAACCGTTGCTACGTTTAGCTATTCATCTGCGGTTCACACCCCTCAGTAAGATTTCCAGAGATATAAGTATTAATCTGATCAAATGTCTTATCGATTGCTCAACATGAAATAATGTGTTGGCCACTCGCTGTGAAATCTAAATTCCTAGAGCTTATTCCTGGTTGCGTTTTGGGACCACACTTATAGGAAGTCCTGTACTGGGACGAAATGCTATTCAGTCCTATTTTTATGTAATGATAGTCCGGCTGAGATCAATCTGTAATTATTACCAATTTGTAATCAAAAGTATTCTCCACAAAACCACTTCTAAACAGTAACATAATCATATAGATTCAGGTTATAGAAGGATTGGATCCGTAGATCATTTGGATTGGGCTGACAAATATCACTGTTGTGGAAAAGTCTAAGCATTCTTCTTTAGAATTCATTACAAGGTCCGTGACCCTAACTGCCCCGGCTTATGCAACCGAAATGTGTTCCGACAAAAATCTACCATTTAAGATGCTGCCAATTGGAAACTCACATTATCAGCCAATATGAGTGTAGTTTTTGCAAATAAAACACTATATCACACGAAAATGGTTACAGTGCGATGCATTAGCGTTTATTCTTTGACTACGCTTTGAAATTATATAATCAGGACTTCCAAAAATAGTCTAATCTCATTTTGTCACAAACTATGAGGTTTGTTGTACTTTTAAAGTAAATTGTTGTCTTGGAGGAAATTTCCTCCATACAATGGCCAGGCATCGAGTTCATTCACTAAGTGTGATAGTTAGAAGAGACTCTTCATTTACTTTATCAATTTAAGTCCTGAAAATTGTATGCACTGGTTTGAAATTAATGTTCAATTACCCTGGACGAACCACACACTTT